GACAGCCATATTTTGGGAAGGGGCCGCCTTCAATCCGAGATACTTTTGCAACTTGTTGAAGCGAATGTCTCTCAAGGTGTGAAGCTCTTGCATTTGTTTACAACGAGTGTGCGCGGCGCTAAGGCTAGAGCCACATTCTGAAACCGAGCCGCCATCAATACGTAACACGCCTTACAATTTTTTAGAGCGACTGCGCGCGGCGCTGAGGCGAGAGCCACATTTTGAAAAATCATCGCCCTGAGTCCGCGAAACTCTTGCAGTGGTTGAGAACGAATGTGCTCGGCGCCGAGGCGAGAACCGCATTTTGAAAACCGCCCGCCCTCAATCCAGAATGATCTTGCCAATTTTTGAAACGAGTGTGCGTGGCGCTAAGGCGAGGGCCGCATTTTGAAAACCGCCCGCCGTCAATCCGGAAAACTCTTTTGCATTTTTGCAGCGAATGTGCGCGGCGCCAAAGCGAGAGCCACATTTTGAAAACCACCCGCCATCAATGTATGACATTGTTATCAGAACGTCTCAGGCGGAACAATTGGCCCGCCCTTTCGACTGGCCTCGGGGTGCGACGGGGGGAAATTCAGGAATAGAAATGTGATAGGAGGAAGAGGAGGAGGAGGAGGAGGAGGAGGAGGAGGAGGAGGAGGAGGAGGAGGAGGAGGAGGAGGAGGAGGAGGAGGAGGAGGGAGGAGGAGGAGGAGGGAGGAGGAGGAGGAGGAGGAGGACCACTGCCGCAGCCGACAGCGAGGCGACCGACCACGTCAGCCAGGTGGCGGTCATGTTCCTGCTCGGGGAGTGCCCTGCTGATTTTCTCAAAGCGAACTTGGGAGCTCGCCTCGTGGCCCTGCGAAAGCCCAACGGCAAAGTCCGGCCCGTGGCGTGCGGGTCTATGCTGCGGCGCATTGCTGCGAGGGCTGCGTGCCACGTGTTTCGGGAACAGTTGATGCACGCCTGTGGACCGCACCAGTACGCAGTGGGACGACAAGCCGGGTGCGAAAAAATCCACAAAGCCGTTACGGCAATGACGGCGGCATCGCCCGCAGACTTGGTGTTGACGTTCGACGCCACCAACGCGTTCAATACTATGCCGCGCCAGAGAATCCTTGCGGGGGTCGCGGCGCGGATGCCCGACCCGTACCAGGCGGCGGCCGTGTGGCTGGGCACGGGGACCACGCACTTCTGGTGGGGGGCCGGCGGAAAGGCCAAAGCGGTGAGAGCGAGGAAAGGAGTCGACCAGGGCTGCCCGCTCTCGCCCGCCTACTTTGCCTTAGGGCTGGCGGAGGCGTTGTCCAACATCGACGCTCGCCTGCGGGCCGCGGCGCCGACTGCCCGGGTCTTCTCCTACTTGGACGACGTGATCGTGGTGGTGCCCGCGGCGCTCGGGGGGGCAGCGGCGCAGACAGTGGTCGAGGAGTTGACGCGAGCAGGACTTACCATCAACAAGGGCAAAACAGCGGCGTGGACCCGAGACCCAGCGACGCCACTTTCGCCGCTTCTCGAACGTTTGCGGACACCAGCTCTCCGCTGCCTAGGGGCCACCGCGCCCTGGGTGGAACCAAAGACCCGCTGGCGAGGCTCGCAGTTCACGGGCAGGCTGACGGCGACGAGGCCGTGCGGGCCGCAGAGCGCTTGGTCACCCGACTCCAGGAACTGCAGTGCGCCAGACTCGGGGCGAGGGAGAGCTTCTGGCTGCTCCAAACCTACAGCAACGGCTTCGTCACGCATCTGCTGCGCGCGAACTACGAGGGCGGGGACTGGCTCACCAGGCTCGACAGGACACTCACGCAGTTTGTGGAGGACTTCCTCGGCGACGCCCTCGACGACGACTTGCGGGCGCAATGCTTCCTCCTGTTGACCGACGGGGGCCTCGGGCTTGCTTCGGCCGCGCAGGCGGCGGCCGCCGCCTACCTGGGCAGCTGGGCACTAACCCTCCATGGCGTGGGCGCCTGCCTGGATGAGCCCTCCTGGGCGCGGTTCCAGGAGCGTTGCCCCTTGGTGGCCGAGGCCATTGCGAGGGCAGAGGCCCGGCTACAGGCGCAGAGCGGGGGATCTCTCCAGGCCGTCGACTGAACCGGCTGCATGGGTGAACCGCTGGAGGGAATGCAGGGGAAGTGGGCGGGCGACCTCCGCAGCAAGGAACGAGAGCGGCTGCTGGCCTCCCTGGGAGCAGACGACAGGGTTGACTTCCGCTCGTTTGGCGGCCCTGGCGCAGGTGGGTACTGGGAGCCGCCCGTCGTCCGAGACGGAGAGACACCTGCTAAAATGCCGGACGAGCACTTCCGGGTTGCCCTCAAGGACAAGCTGCGCCTGCCGGTGTGGCCGCCGGGCGCAACCTGCAAGCTCCGCAGAGCCGACGGGGCGCTGTGTGGGGAGGCGCTTGACCGACACGGGCGCCACTCCCTGAAGTGCCCGTGTGGCCCCTGCCGCAACAACAAACACAACGGCCTCCGGGACTTCTGCGCAGGCTACCACCAGCGGACCACAGGACACGCAGCGCAGACGGAGCAACGGGTTGTTGCTTGGGACAGGGTGAACCCGCGGACAGGGCGCCTCGAAGAAGCGCGGCTCGACCTCGCCACCCGCGACGCAGTGACCAGCCAGACGGTGTTCTTGGACACGAGCGTGACCTGCGCACACAGCGGTACCGCGCCGCGCCAGCAGGCCCGCTCCAACAAGGACGGCCTTGCCGCCACTAGCGCCGAGGACGCCAAGCGGGAGCGCTACCCGCCCGAAGGGGGCCAGCTCATCCCTGTGGTTTTCGAAACAGGGGGCCGCCCGGGTGACGCCACCGTGGCGTGCGTCCGCTCCTGGGGCCACGACGTGGCCCTCGCGGAGCGGACAGTGGTCATCCGCTATGGCTGGCAACAACTGAGCACGCGGCTGCACCTCGGAAGCGCCGAGGCCATCTTGGCGGCTGTGGGGCGGTGAGCGCGCTGCCGCCAGCTCAACTACCGCCGGCGCGGCAACCGCCACGTCCGCCACCAGCGGTGCGACCACATCCACCCCCAGCGTGACAATCCCTGCCGCCACCGTTAGCACCACGACGACGACGACCCTAGGCACGACAACAGCCACGACCAGCGCCTCGGCCACGACCAGGACCAGCAAGACAACCGGCGCGACCACCGCCGACAGGCGCCGTGACCACGACCTCCAACAGCACGGCAGCGCCGTGACCACGGCGACCGCCGCCGAACCGACCGCCAACGCCCCCGACCTGCCCTCCTCTCTCCTGTCCCCGCCCCTGCCGGGCCGCCCCTGCTGCCTCGCGGGCCTTGCGCCTCTCCCCCCTCCTCCTCCTCCTCCTCCTCCTCCTCCTCCTCCTCCTCCTCCTCCTCCTCCCACCTCCTCCTCCTCCTCCTCCTCCTCCTCCCTCCTCCTCCTCCTCCTCCCCTCCCTTTCCTCCTCCTCCTCCTCCTCCTCTCCTCCTCCTCCTCCTCCTCCTCCTCCTCCTCCTCCTCCTCCTCCCCCCGCCTGACAGATGGATGGTGAATTCGGATTCTGCAGCGCCCCGAAGTGGCTTCGGTTTAGCGCATGACCCCCAGGACCGATGCTCAGGGCCGCGCCCTGAGGGCAAGTGGGGGCGCCACACCCGCGACCAGCTGAGGAGGAGGAGGAGGAGGAGGAGGAGGAGGAGGAGGAGTAGGAGGAGGAGGGGGAGGAGGATGAGGAGGAAGAGGAGGAGGGGGAGGAGGACAAGCTAGGTGCGCGCGCGTCATATCTGACGTCCTACCCCTCCCTCCCATCCCTTACCATGGCTCTATCCGCGGACTAGTGGGTGGTGGTGCGCGTGCGTGCGTGCGTGCGTGTGTGCGTGGTTGTGGTGGTGGTGGTTGTGGTGGTGGTGGTGCTGGTGCTGGTGGTGGTGGTGGTGGTGCTGCTGCTGCTGCTGCTGGTGGTGCTGGTGGTGCTGGTGGTGCTGGTGGTGCTGGTGGTGCTGGTGGTGCTGGTGGTGCTGGTGGTGCTGGTGGTGCTGGTGGTGCTGGTGGTGCTGGTGGTGCTGGTGGTGCTGGTGGTGGGTGGTGCTGGTGGTGGTGGTGGTGGTGGTGGTGGTGGTGTGTGTGTGTGTGCGTGTGTGTGTGTGTGTGCGTGTGTTGTGGCATGGCACGGGAAATGACGCCAACGCTGCAGCGGGAGCACGAGTCGAAACGGGCGGAAGCGCGGAAATGAGGCCAGCGCTGCAGCGGGAACACGATTCGGAACGAGCGGAAGCACGGAATTGAGGCCAGCGCTGCAGCGGGAACGCGATTCGGAACGAGCGGGGCCCGAACATGAGGCCGGCGCCACGGCGAGAGCAGCATTTTGAAACAAAAACACAAGCGAAAACCCGTTTCCCGGGAATCCTGTGTGTAAAAAACAATACGCGGGGGGGTGTCGGATATCTTCGGGACGCCATCAGGGGAAGTGGGAGTATTTTCATATTGTGTAATTGTGGAGGAGGAGGAGGAGGAGGAGGAGGAGGAGGAGGAGGAGGAGGAGGAGGAGGCGGAGGAATCCCATCCCACCACGGCCCCTCAAGAGGCGCCCAAGAGGCCCCGCCGGGGGCGTATTGGGCGCCTCTTGGCTGCCTCTTGGGGGGCCTGCGTGCAGTCTCGGGGGCCATCCTGGGCACCATCGGGACACATCGGGGCCAGCCGAGAAGCCCCACAAGCGCCTCTAGCCAGGGGGCCCCGAGCCTCAGAGGGCTCCGCCTGGCCGTCGGGCCGTCCCCTGGAGTTGGCAAGCCAGATTCGGGGGGTGGGGACTCGGCGCAGCCGGCATCGTCCTGCTGATGTCGAACTTGGCCGCTGTCGGCAGCCAGTGCAGGCGAGGTCCACAAGAGCGCGGAGGGCACCCGAGAGCTCTCCGTGCGGTTCCCTGGCGATTCCCTCGGCAGGGCGGGGCGTGGGCGGGCGCGGGGCAGACAGGGGCGGAGCAGGACGAGGAGGAGGAGGGCGAGGGCTGGGGTGTGGGAGGGGGCGGACCGCATTCGGGCGAGGGGGCGCCCCTTCTGCCCGGGGGCACAGGCGCTTTCCAGTACCTGCACGTGCGGCATGAAGTCGATACGCGGCAGCGTCTTCTGGATGGCGCCAGAGGCGAGGAGGGGGCCCTGAGATCCGACGGCGCGAAAAAATTGAGCCAGTATGAGAAATCACCACCAGGGCGCTAGACCCCATCAATCCCCGCCGTGTTTCGAGCCAGATCGATCTGTGAGGGCCCCAGGGCCCGAAGCCTGATGAAAACGCCCGGCTCGAAAAACTTGAGACGCCAGGATCTCAGGGGAGGCGCGCGGCGCGCGCGCCCGTCGACCTCCCCGGCGCGGGCTCTCCGCAGCTTTGGCGTTCGGAGGGCGTCGGCCCTCGGGCATTGCGGCGCCCCCCCCGCCCACCTCGTGAGTGTGCCCACTGCGGCACGGGCCGAGCTCTCGGTGCGGTGTGCGGGCGTCTCGTCTGGTCTCGTCCTGTGTCCTCTGGAGTCAACCCGCGCACTGAGTAAGGATGAGCACTTTTCCAAGGCTATCCTTGCAGCATTCTTCCCCTCCGGTTCATTCTTGGCCGCTTTCGCTGGCCGCGCCCCGCCCGCGTCGACATGACCTTCCAAGGCCCTTGCATCCCATCGTGCGTTTCTACTGTACGGGTTGACTGTAGCCACCTCTCGTCTCGTCTTGTCTTGGCTCACGCCTTTTTGGCTCAAACCTTTTGGCTCAAGCAACGTCTTGGCTCACGTATCGTCTTGGCTTTAGTTTGTCTTCACTGGTGCGTACTCGTCCTGTCTCGTTGGTGCGCGCATGCTGGCACTATGAACGACATGAGCGATGCTAAGGAAAAGTGTGCTCGCGCGGGGGGAGAAGCCAGGCTCGAGAGCAAAACGGCGCAGGGCCAAAACACACCAGGCTTTACAGGACGACGAAGACTCGACGTTGAACGAGGTCATGAAGCAAACTTCGGAATGGTTCACCATGTTCGCGGCGGTGCAGAACACGAAGCTCGACAGGCTCCTGACTAGGTTTGACGACGTCAGCGACAGCATCGATGCCTCAGGGCGAAGGCGGACGGACTCGATGACAGGGCTATCGAGTTGGATGTGGGGCTTAGGAATGTGAATATGGACATCGAATATATGGCCACTCAGGACTCAATGAAGGGCATGATGCAGGAGACGCTGAAGTAAATGATTCAGGATGGGAGGATGAAGGAACTTTATATGAACGGGATGGGGGGGATGATTTCGAAGGAAGAGATGCCAGAGATGGTCGCAGAAGTCTTGCGGAATTCTGGAATCCAGGCGCCGGGAACCAGCAGCTGGAACCCAGGGGGGACCAATGGTAAGAAATCAGAGGAGGAATTTGAACGCACCATGGTGGTTGGTGGCTTCGAGCGGGCTTTGTTGGGCACAGATGTCGAAGAAGGTATCAAGGCATGCTACGTGGACGCGGATGGCAACGCGGAGGGCTCCGAGTCTTCGAGGAGGTTTTCGTTCGTCCAGGGCCGCACGTACAAGATAAGTTTCATCAGGTTTCAGGACGTCCAGGGCAAAAAGGGCTTCTGAACGAAACTGAAGGACAAGGGTGATGTCGTGGTTGATGGCCGGAAACTGTGAGCGAATGGCGACAAGGATGACGGGGCCCGTCAAAAGGAGAAATCGGTGGCCAAGATAGCGAAGGTTTTGAAAAGGGCATCCCCGAGCCCTTCGCGGGGTTACCGAGCGAGTGGGCCGATCGTGGGAGTATTGTTTGAGTGGACAAGACAAGGGCAGGCGATTGGGACCAGAGTTAAATTGGGCGTGTCCTTCTACAGGAGGAATATTCAAACATAGTGCAAAAATAGTATGGAGGCGACTTTTTCTTTTATTGGTCATGTTTGTGGGTTGTTGGACTATTGTTCATTGTTTGTCCAAAATCCCTTTGTAGGAGGACAGGCCCGAGAGAAGACCAGAGCCGGGAGGAGTTCGGGGACCGCTGTGGACGACGTCTCAAAACTCAATTTCGGTGTCTCGGGCGAGGTCGTCGCGAAGCAGTGGATGGGGAGAGGTGGATGTACAGGAATAGGGGTTGCGACGCCGTGCGCGTCTCGGTGTTTCCATGGACCCAGTAACTTATGACGTCCGTCCCTCTTCATTTTGTTATTTTCTTCCTCGTCTTCGTTGGCCCCTCCAAGGCGAGATCCAAGCGCCGCTGATACCTCGTTCTCACCTTTCGCCGGGCCACTTCGGGGGGGCGGCTGGGGCCAGCAATCGATGCCCGCGTGCGGCCAGGGGGGTGCTCGCAAGAAGGCGCTGGATATTCAAAACAGGAAGAACGCATACACACAAAAAGGGTTTCATTGGTTTTACGCTGGAAGGGGGCGTCGTTGAGAGGGTGCCTGGCACGGATGCGGGGGTCGGTGTGGCGTCGGTTTTTGGAGCTGGCGGTTTGCGCGGCAAGTGCCTTTAGCTGGTCGCATGCGTTCGGAGCGCGTGACGGGTGGAAAGACCGCTCACCAGCAACTGGCAGTCCTCTGCCCGCGGGCCAGAACAAATCGTCGCGCGGTCGCAACGGGGCGTGGGAAAGGGGGTTGGGGAGAGAACGCGAGTCTCATTCCCAATATGTCCCTTCGATAGGCAGCAAGCGATTCTTTTTCTATTCATCTGCCGCGCGGCCAACCGAACGAACGAACGACTGTCTCGGCGCGCAGTGTTAGCTTCGCTTGCGCGCATCCTGGCGCCCTTCCGTTTCTTCCTTCGTTTCTTTCTCGCTTCTTTTTATTTTTCCTTTTTCCCTGCTTTGCCTTGCCCCGCCCCCGCCTTCCTTTTCCAGCTCGGAGCTGTCGCCGCGCGCGAAGAGCGCAACCCAAAGGGTGCTGCTGTAATTCCTCTGTGCGCCACGAAGTCTCGTGTAATTCCTTTGCGTGCGGGCTGGTTGCACTGCTGGCGCGGGGGGCGCGCAAAGGAATTTCCTTTGTGCACGATCGTTTTCGCCGCCCCCGCAGGAGCGCGCGCGATTCATTTGCGTGGGGCTTGCTTTCCCGCCTCGAGGGGCGCGCGGGGCCCGGCGCTAAAATCGCAAGGCCGCGGCGCCTGGCAGTGCGATGCAGCTGCGCCGGATGCCGCGCCCAAAGCGACCCTGCGTGGATTTCGGCTCTTCTGCCGAAATCGCGCTGGCAGCTGGCCGGCCGCGTCGCCGGCCCTGCATGCCCGCGCGCGCGACTGCGTTCTGCTGCCGCGACGCGTGCTGCTGTCAACGGATGAACAAACTGACGTTGCACGGTGGTTTGGCTGTGCCAAACCACCATGGAATGTCTGTTGGCAGCGGATCCTGGGATCTTGTCGCCGCCGACAGCCTTGCCACACCATGCGTGTCGCTCTCATCCTAGAGCGCGGCCGTGCATCGCCCATGGTTCGGGTCGCGGGGGGGCCAGTCGCATGCGTGCGCATGCGTTGCACCGTTGGTGGTGCCAAAGGCCTTCGTGTAAAATTCCATTGCGTGATTTTTTCTCTGGCTCCTACGCATAGCTTCATCCCATGATTTTGCGATTGTTGTTGAAGCCCGGGAAACCGTGGAGCGCGACGGCATTCTAGGCGACAGTGTCTGTCAATTTGATGCGCGCAGGAGTCGGCAGACTGATTTGAAAATATTTGCAGCAGCAGTTTTCCATTTGTACTGAAGAGGTTGTGGAGGCTGGTTGTAGTGTTTGTCGAGACTTGCGCGGCCCTGCCGGGGGGCTGCGCACTTCCGGCGTTTAATCGGACACGGTGGATCGCGGTGCCCAGGTGTGTGTCACGCGCGCCCCCTCGGAATGCAATTGACCCATCGGCTGTCGCCATTGTCGCGGGAGATTTCAACTTTGCCCACCCGGGGTCTGGCCGCTATTCCGCTATTTGAAAACAGAGGGGCATTGGTCTCTGAGTTGCGATGGTCCCGCGGCGATGGTTTTGGGGGAACAGCTGGGTCGAGCTGGAATTTCAGAGTAGGCACAGGGCGACTTCGTATATGAAGCTCGCATCGTTTGTTTCATTATCCGATTTGATCGTGTTTGCTCTTCCCTGCTGCCCCTTTTTAAACGCACTCGGACTGTCGATTGCCGTGGTGCGGGTCGCTGGCTGTTCCTGTCTCCGCGCCGCCCCGCGTCTTCAAAGTTGAGCTGGGGGCGAGAAGCCCCCGCCCTCAGAGCGCCTGCGCGGATCTCTACCCGTGGGACCTTGCGCCAAAAGGCGTTTCCAGATTCATCGCGGATTGGCGCGCTGTGCCGGGGATCCTTTTGCAGCGCTTGGCTTGTTTAAGATGTCCGTGAAGAAGGCGGCCAAATGCGCGACGGGGGGGATCGGCGACGCGCTGGCGCCCAGGACAGGACAAGCTACCGGCGCGCGTTGGCGCCCAAAGGTGTTTTGCAGCCGCGTCTGGAAGAGGGGGGGATCCACTCTAGCATCGCGCCCTCGTCTTGGGGCCTTGCAGGCGGCCGAGGAGCTCTGGCTGCGCGGGCCGGCGGGAGTCTGTTGGCCCGCGTGCAAGAGGCCGGGCGCGTTTCAATTGAAGAGCGCGTGGGCGAGGTGAAACGCTTGCGCGACGGCCTCCCCGAGATGGCGCGCAGCGCGAGGAAAGACGGCATCCTTCTATCTCTTCGTCGACTACTTCCCGGGGTTTAGGGCGCCCAATCGGCCGCCGGGGGCCCCGCGGGAGGCGTTGCTTCGGGGCCGGGGGCGATGGCTGCAGCGCTGGCGATTGACTGGCGAACCGTTTGCGATCGCAGACCCAAGGGCGCATCCGCGCGACGTCGCGGCGGCGCGGCCCGACGATTCCATGGCGAGCTGCGCTCGCATTTCGACGGGCCTTGGCCCGACGTTGGAGGGCGCGTGCAATGTCTTTGCGTTGCTGCCTGTGCGTTCTCCTGGGCCAGGTAGTCCTTCCGGGTTTGCGGGGGGTTTACGCGCGCGTTGGCGCCGATTCTCTCGGGGCGTGATCCAGGGTGCTGTCGCGCCGCCGCGCGACCTCGGTTGGGCATTTCTTTCCTTCCATCCAAAGGGTCGCGGTGCCCTCCGCGATCGCGGCTGAAGTGCGCGACCGTGCCGCTGCCCGCCCATTTTGCGCAGTCGACGCTTCCGGCGCAATCGCCGCCTCGAT